TGTGTGGCGTGAGACAGGTGGGTTTTCCCCAGCCTCAGCCCAGGGTCGGGGTTGCTAACGGCATCGCCCGTGTGTTCACTGTGTTTCAGGGTCGTGGTGCCCTTACTGAGACCCCTGCAGCAACCTCAGACTCCAGCTCACGTACCCCTGGGCTTCGTTGGGCTTCCTGAGTCTGCGGAGGCCCAGAGTGAGGCCTCCCAAGGCGTTGAGATCCCGGGTGGGAGGTGGAGATGTGGCCCTGCATGATGGTCCCAGCTGTGTCCTTTGGTCCTGTCTCCTTGGGAGCCAGGGAGCTGGTCAGAGGGGAGTTAGAGGAGAAGTCTCAGCCCAGGGCCCAGACCCAGACGCTCGGGGGACAGCAGGTGGCTTGCAGTGCGCTCTGTGCCTCTCTCCAGCTGAGAGCAAAGGTGGCATGCTGGCACGGCCACGTGGAGGCTGTGTGCTGGTCTGCCTTTGGACCCCTCTGGAGGAGAGTGCTGCGGGTTACAGGTGGATGAGGTGCCGCTGCTGCTGGAGGCCTGGTCCCCTGCTGTCATGCCTGCAAGAAGGGATCAGGCTGGGAAGGCTCACTCCATCCTCACAGGGCGTTCTCCTCTCCTGACACACCTGTGTGCACAACCTTATGCCCCCTTCCTTTGCTCTTAGCCATTTCTGGACTTTAATCAGGCCTACATATGAATATCCCACCTGCTTCTGGGATAATGTGCACATTCCTTCCACTCTGAAGTGCAGAAAAGTGTTTTCGGATTTGTTTTGAATTTGCTTATAGAATCAGAGTAATGTCCAGGTATGCTGTCATCTATTTCTGCTGCCTCGTTTTGATGCTTACGGAAACTGGGCCTGAGAATGTCATCAAGCTAAACAGAGTTGAACCCTGTTTCCTGATGTTGCAGTAACAATGGTTGCTCTCTACAAATCTTCCTTGTTGAAACTTGCTTTTGAAAACTAAAGAAGAAAACATGGCAATGGAATGGAAATCAAAAAGGAGGAAGTGATGGGACAGCAACAGGGTAGTGGTGAGCAGAGGGTGAGGGGTAGAAGGTCAATGGCTTCTTGCTCTATGTGGAACTGAACAGCCCTGGACTCCTAACCTCCCTCCTCCACCCCCTCCCTTCCCCCAGTGCTCTCAGCCCTTGTCTCCTTCCAAACCTGGCAAGATTTTCTCAGAGTCTGTCAACTGTAGGATTCAGTGTAATAATAGGTGATTTGTAATCACTTTTATTTTACCTGTAATTAATATTTATTACCTAGAATATATTCACTAACATTCATTTCTCAATCAGAACAGAAAATGCAAATAAACAAGAGAAGAAAATTGAAGATTTAATGTTTATATATTTTGCAAAACGGGATCTGCAACAGAGAATCATACTTCTTTTGAGAAATCAGTCTTGGTGAGTTAAAGGACCCTGTTAGGCACCATAAATCTCGTTTGGCCATGCTTTTCCAGTCCATTTGCTGAATAACCCACAGTACTGCCAATTTCTAGTGTGGCCCAGAACAAGAATACAATTTGAATTAGGTCTAGTATACCATACACACCCTCTCTTTCGTCGCGTGACCTAGCATATATGGTGCTTGCAATGTTTATGGCAGAGGCAAATGATGTATGGAAACTTTGGGAGGTCCCTGTATGTGAGTCATAGCATAGTCCCTCAGGATTTTGGAGCATAGCAATACCAACTTCTGCAGATAACTATTCTATGGAGAAAAAGTTGTTTCTAGCTTGTTATTTATTGCTCTTTGAGTCCTCTCCTCCGAAGTTAGTAACTATTCTAAATTCTAATACTGCAGAGGATAATTCCATAGATTAGATGGAATATTTGTGACTTTGGAAAAATAAGAAGGGCAATTAGAAACTCTTGGAAAATAAAAAAACTATGCAAAAAATATTGTGTAATTTGCATTCTTATTAATTTCCTTATCTTCTATAATTTTCTTATCTATGCTATTCAATTAAAGACCATGACTTGTAACTCCCATGTCTGAATTTACCTGTAAGTCTGCTTGCTTCTACCACCCACTTTTATCTTAGTTTTGACTGGGTGTGCCTGACAATTTTTTAAAAAGTTTTATTTATGCATACAAGAACTGCGGTACAGGCCAGAGGTGGGAGGGTGAGAGGATTCACCATAGACAGAGTGGGGAGCAGACTAGTCAGACTGACTGAAATACACTACTGAGGGGAGCAGCACAGCGGGCCAGAGAGGTCTGCTGCGCTATGTGGGTCACTTCCCTGGCCGGGGATCGAACTCATGCTGCAGTAGCTGCAGATAGCTTCATAGTGCTGAGACTTAACCCCTTGTACCACTAGGAAGGCCCCATGCCTGACAATTTTTGATGAAATACTATGGTGCATGAGATTGCAGAAGCTCTAAATGAACTTTCGTTTCTGACAATTATAGTAGGGGCAAATTGCATTCATCTGGCTAGGTTGCTAATTCACGGAATCAGTCTTCTCGATATCTGCTCTGTATTTATTTCTAATTCCTAGGTAAAGTCTTTCAGAGGTTCCAAATGAAAGCTGTGATATTTGCCATGGCCCAGTCACCACTGATGGGATCTGAACTCCAAGTTCAATCTGCCAGGACTCTGCTCGGTACCTCAGACACTGCTGTGCCTCTCAATCTATCCCATGCCATTTGCTAATAGAAAAATCCTTGTGGGAAAAAGTTCAGTCTACTGGGTTTTTTTTTTTTTTTCACTTATCCCCAAGATCTTGCCACTCAAGTTCCACTGTCTTAGCACAGGGTTCTTTCAGGTCCGAGAAGGCAGCTGCAGTTCCTTGGTACATGCACTTCCTCAACATGTTTGCTTACATCATCAGGCCAGCAAGAAAATAGTCGTTGGCTAATATGGAGTCTTAAATAACAATAATGGAAGTTATATCCCATCACCTTTGCCAGAATTTACTGTATAGAATCAAGTGCCAGTTCTGCCCACATTCAAGGCTTATCTTGGGAGGTCACCTAGGGAGTGCCTGATGTAACTGCTGAACAGGACAAGAAGAGGGAATTAAGCATTCAATGACACGAATAGTGGTATCAGGTGCCAATATTTGTCTCATTACTTCTTGCATCTTTGATCATTGACTACATCTCTCCTCACCTGTAAAATTGGTTAGTTGAGAACAGGATTTGGTAGTTAGAGTAAACAGCAATGGAGATGTCTTATTTTATTTATTTATTTATTTATTTATTTATTTTTTAAAATATATTTATTTATTTATATAAGCACTGGGTACAGTCAGAAGCGCGGGAGGGTGAGAGAATTCACCAGAGCCAGAGCGAGGAGCAGAGCAGGCAGGAGGACCGAAGACCATGTGGGACCCTCCTCCGGTGGCCGGGGAGCAGCCGGGGATTGAACCTGCGCTGCAGAGGCCGCGGGCAGCTTCGCAACCCAGCACTCAACCGCTGCGCCACCGGTGAGGCCCGAGATGTCTTATTTTAATAAAATGCATATAGATAGTAAAATCACAAGATACCCATTCTCAAGATGCAAAATATTTACTCAAAACCAGACTCAGACAACCAAATGGAAAACAAATAGACAATATGCACATATGTGAACGGTCAATCATTTAAAAAGAATGACATCATATGTTAAAGACAAAGCAGTATGGGAAAGTGTATGGGAAGAGAACTAAGCATGCACAAGATTACCGTCAATGACTAATTTTATTGAGACAGTGAAAAAACTTTAAAAATCATCAGTAATCCCAACAGCCAAGTGATAATTTGGTGTATTTTCTTTGTGGAATTTTTTCTTTGTGTATATCTACCTATACACACGGCACTAAAATAGATGTAATGCAAATATGTATGTATATATGAGAGCATATAATTATATTCATAAAATTGCTATTTTTCTGTTTCCCAGAATCACTGACATAATGTTAATATCACTCCTCTGCATATTTTTTACAATATAAACCACATGGTACATTATTTTTTTAAAAGATTACTTATGCATATAAGAACTGGGGTACAGGCCAGAGGTATGGGGGGTGAGGAACAGAATAGGCAGATTGAAATGCACTGCTGAGGGGAGCAGCGGGTGAGACAGGAGAGGTTTGCTGTGCCATGTGGGTAGCTCCCTGGCTGGGGATTGAACTTGTGCTACAGAGGCTACGGATACCTTCATGGTGCTGTGCCTAACTCCTTGCACCACCAGGGAGGCCCACAGGGTACATTATTTTAAGTTTTTTTTCCTTAACCTATTACTATAAACATTTGCTGAAATCCTCAACATAATTCTTAATTAGTACATTAATTCCACTCTGATATGTCCATTTTTAAATCAGTTATCTATTATTTTTTCCTTTATACTTTATAAAAAGACAAATTGTAAGCACTCTGAGGTGTGGCAAGGCTTGTAATATACCTTTCCCACAAGAGGTTTACATGTTTTGCATTAAAGATGTTGATGAATAATAGGTATAAGATCTCCTGTTTGAGCTCCTTTGTTTGAGGGATGCTGATGATTCATCCTGTCTCATTCTATTTTAAGGAAGCAATTTTTCTGTTTGTTAAAAAAAAATAACCTGGTAGTTTTCCCCAGCTAGGATTAATATTTAATGTTTTATATTCTTTCAAAATTGTTACACTCCACAGTGAACATAACTTTATAACTGTTTACAAGCACACTTTTCCACAAAATATTTGGTACAGAATATGAAGCATTTCATAATTTCTAACATGTTTTTCTAAACTCATTAAATTCTTAATTTTTCCTCAGCATAAATACCAATAGGTAATGACATTTAATCTCCCCACATATACTCAGTTTTCCCCCTTTTGAATTTTTCTCGGCTCATGGGTAAGAAGGCTATGTGAAAATTAATCACATTTATTACATGCTTCTGGAATTATATTTTTGTGTCTTTTATTGAGTAATGTGTGAAGTTTCTGAAATTCTTGATATGTATAAGGTTACTCCATAGGATGAACATATATATATATATATATATATATATATATTATATATAAAATGAGGTATAATTACCACTGAAATCATCCCACTCTCAAGTATATTAAATTTTATCTCCTGGGTGACCTCTCTGATGTTTAATGAGAGTTGACTTCCCACTGAAGGCTTTACCACAGTCCCTGCATTCATAAGGTTTTTCTCCTGTATGAGTTCTGTGGTGAACAATGAGAGTTGATTTCACACTGAAGGCTTTCCCACATTCACTACATTTGTATGGTTTTTCTCCTGTATGAACTCTCTGATGTTTGATGAGAGTTGACTTTCTACTGAATGCTTTCCCACAGTCACTGCATTCATAGGGTCTCTCTCCTGTATGAATTCTCAGATGTTTAATCAGTGGTGACTTCTCACTGAAAGCTTTCCCACATTCACTGCATTTATAGGGCTTCTCTCCTGTGTGAGTTCTCTGATGTACAATAAGAGTTGACTTCTCACCAAAGGCTTTCCCACATCTTTTGCATTCATAAGGTTTCTCTCCTGTATGAGTTCTATGATGGATAGAGAGGTGTGATTTTCCACTGAAAGTCTTTCCACATATGCTGCATTCATAGGGTTTTTCTCCTGTATGAATTCTCTGATGAGCAGAGAGATGTGATTTTCCCCTGAAGCTTTTTCCACATTTACTGCACTCATAAGGTTTCTCTTTCTTAGGAGTTCTCTGATATTTAATGGAGGTGGTATTCTCATCAAAAGCTTTCCCATATTTACTACTCTCAGGTTTTTCACCTATATGTGTCTTTTGATGAATAAGACTGGACTTACCACATTTGATACCTTTATAAAATGTTTGTCTAATGTGTGTTTTCTTATGTCTAATTAGGTGATATGAACTCTTAAAGGCTTTTGCACATTCACTGCATACAAATGGTTTCTCTCCTGTATGAGTTCGCTGATGTTTAATCAGAGTTGACTTCTGAATAAAGGTTTTTCCACATTCACTGCACTTATAGGGTTTCTCCCCTGTATGAGTTTGCTGGTGAGCGATGAGGGTTGACTTTTGACTGAAGGTTTTTGCACATTCACAACAAGCATAAGGTTTCTCTCCAGTATGAATTCTTCGATGTACAACAAGGTTTGCTTTCTGGATAAACACTTTTCCACAATCAGAACATTCATAAGGTTTCTCACCATTTTGAATTCTCTGACTTTTATTAAGGGCTTCTGTATGGTGAAGGCCTTCTCCATGTTGATTAAGTTCAAAGAATTTCTCTTCAGGTTGAGCTTTATCAAGATTAGAATGGAAGCATGATTGCCAATGTGCCTTACATTCACCTTCCTTCTTTCTTATAGAATTTCTATTTTGATTAGGAAAGTTTAAATTATGTTTTGAACACCTTCCCCATGTATAATATTTAGGGAGCTTTTGTTTTATAGAAATAAAGTCTGTGCTCGGAAAAATGATTTTTCTGCATATACTGGATTCTTGGCTATTTTTATCCTTCAGTGTTTCCTTCTCTATGAATGCAACTTGCCACAGAGATTTGTCTTGACTTTCTTTGTGGTTCTCTATCTGGTCATCTATTCGCCACAATTCTGGGGAAAAAATCGCAATGAATCATCAAACATGTAAATATTTCTACTGTAATATTATGGGGTAAAAATAATTCATAAATGCCTGCTGTGAACTCCTATCAATAAAGTTGAGCTGATGTGGTTGGACCCTCTCTATGCTCTACTACTACTACTTCCCCTACTACAAATTAAAGAAATACTGATCCATATTTAACACAAAAAATTTGATATAAAGTGAAGCTCAAAACAAAAGAAAGAGGGCTTCCCTGGTGGCACAGGGGTTAAAGTCTCAGAGCTATCAAGCTATCGCCAGACACTGCAGCATGAGTTCTATTTCCGGCCAGGGAGGTAACCCACATGGTGCATCAGACCTCTCCTGTCTCGCCCGCTGCTCCCCTCAGCAGTGTATTTCAGTCAATCTGCCCACTCTGGTAAATCTTCTCACCCCCCATATCTCTGGCCTATACCCCAGTTCTTGTACGCATAAGTAAATAAAAATAAAAATAAATCTTTAAAAAAAAAAAAAAGGAAAGAAAGGTATTAGGCAACAGTAGTAAAGTAAGAATTTAAAGTGATAGAGTGAACAGAAACTGAAGCTTGAAGATTTGTAGTGGAATCTAGACTACAGAGAGCACAAATATCAGGAAACTGGAATGGAATTTCTAGTTTTAACCTGGACCCACAAGAGACTTCCATGCTTGTTAAAGAGAAGCTAAAAAGAATCCCCACTGGAAATTATAAAGAAGTATATATAAGAAACAAAACACTAGTTCTGTAACTCAATCCAAATGATAAGTACAGTGCAGAGCCCTATGAGCTGAAAAAATTAAAAACTGCTCCTAGAGCTCCTAGAGTGGCAAGCTTTCCGAAAGATATATTCTTGTGGTTTTTTTTTTAAAGATTTTTAATTTATTTATACAAGAGCTGGGGTACAGGCCAGAGACATGGGCAGATGAGAGGATTCACCAGAGATAGAGCAGGAATCACAACAGGCAGATGGACTGAAATACACTGTTGAGAGGAGCAGCGGGTGAGACAGGAGTGGTCTGCCGTGCCACGTGGGCATCTCCCTGGCCGGCCCAGAATTGAACCCGCCCTGCAGAGGCTGCCGTCACCTTCACAGCACTGCACTCAATCTGCTGCGCCACCTGGAGGCTGTAGTCTTGTGTTTTATAATGTAGGAGTCCCAGAACTTCACAGTAAAAAATTTTAATTCTCACAAGGGAATAAATCAATAAAAGAAAAAAAATAAAAGAAAAATTAGAAGATATATTTAAAGATACTCCCAATTCCTAGAACTGTACCTAATTGAATGATCTGGACTTTACAATACATATACTTCAAATAGTC